TATACGCGTTTATGCATATCGTGTTATGTTTCACAGTGTGTGTAAATTCGAAACTGCCATTCACACTAGATGTGTTTTACTCTACTCGACTGGATTTCACTGATAATCACTTTGTTTCGAGAGGATTTGGCATTATACAAAGTGAATTCAACACTTTGAAGGTTTATAATATTCGTTGCAATTATAAAAAGAGGTCCTGTAATTATTTCTTTTCAACGTTGTATCGAATTTTATTTGAAGCAAGGCGACATGTTTAAATCGAATAATCTTGTTAATTGCATAATTCTTATTTTCTGGACATTTCAACAAGCAAGAGTGCTTTTATACTCTGCTTTAGTCTGGCCTATTACGTTACAATAAAAACAAAAACTTTAATTAAGTGAAACAGCAAGCTACTTTATCACATACTATATGTTCTTGAATTTCTCTTTTAACTTGCTTCATTCTGATGTCACTGCACGTACGAGTCTATTCTGTCGAAAAAGATCGATCAAAATTCGAAAATTAACTAGGGAAATAGTGTTGCATTGCAAAGTAACTAAACGATTTTTTTTCCAACACTCGCCACTCAGATGACAAAAAGATAGCTTTATCGATAAATGATAAAATACCGGTAATGGATATAAAATTTTTTACTTTATGCAATCATACAGATTTTCGCGAACGCAAAGTCAAACAGAATGCGATAGAAATATTCCAAAATGAAACTATTAAAAAATAGAAATTTTGATGGATTATATTGTTTACTCGTTGTACAACTATTTATTTTGAGATCGTGAGTTTTAGTTATCAGAATAAACTGTGAACAAGATAAGAGAATCAACAGATAACAGTTCAACAGAATATGACGTTCTTTAATTGTGACTCCAGTGATTCGTGTGCAAACGTGAAAATTGAATTAACAAGTACTTAATGAAAAGTGAAATAATATAAAAAAAAATTTTTTACGTGAAATCGATAAAGCTCACGATATGCTCGCGATCGGTGTAATTTCGTGCAATTCGATTACGTAAACGTGTAAATTAAAATTGTTAATAAGATCAATTTGTGACAAGAGTAAATCAAAGGGATAATACAACTATTCAATTGTTCCCTACTAGGTGTAAGTACTTTTCTTTTTTGATTTACACATCTCTCATACAAATTTTATACTTTTTATACCGCGAGAGAAGTATTACATTTCTTTAGTATTGAGAAAGGACTACGATGATAAGACGGACAATCCAAATGATGCCATTCATTCGAAATTTCATTTTTATAGACGATAATCTTTGTCAGAATCTATGAATCTTCATCAGAATTTTGATCAGAAATCTATTTCAATCTATTGGTTATTCCTCCACAACTTTGACTACTTATATCTTATTTTCTAATTTATTCCATTTCTAGTAGCTATGTCGAAACTGGCCACTCCAAAATTATACACTCT